ACTTGAGCCCAATCATGAAAACCATGATTTGAACACTTTCGAAGCAAACTCTTGTAACGATCCCAACACTCATACATGGATTCGTCGTCGCCCTGACGAAAAGATGATATTTCATTCCTTAGCTGCGTATTCTTGTTTAGTGGGTTGTACCTCAATAAGAAACTCTTGCAAAGATCGGCCCATGATTCCATCGAACCGGCTGGTATACCACTCAACCAAGCTCTTGCTCGGTCACGCAATGAATATGGAAAAAGCTTTAATTTCAGAAAATCCTCATGCACTCCTTCTTGGCGGAAAGAATCACAAACTTCCAGAAAATTGCGAATGTGCTGCCTGGTATCTTCAGTTGGCATACCCCCAAACTGCCCAATGGAATTCAACATGTTGAACATGACTGGTTTCAGCTCGAAATGTGCAGCTTGAATTTCGGGTGCCACAATCCCAGGATTCAGATCATCCAGCATCGGATTTAAATGATCTCGAATAACACGAGGCCTGATAGCAGGTTCAACATTGTTTAATGCCGCGGCATTCTAATTTCCGTCATCTTAACCAATGCCTTGGTTTCCAATCTGATACATATTTCCTTGAGCACGTCTTCTTCTTCTAAAGAGTTTTCAATCTCAGGTTCTATTGGTTCCAAAGGCTCTTCAGAATTTCTTCTAGGCATACACTAAATAAACCTGAAAAATAAAACAAAAATATCAAGTAAACTATACAAAAAAATAAAAATGCAAAACAAAATAAAATAAAATGCTCTGGCAAAACTAAATAACTTCAGGCTGTCAATCCCCGGCAACGGCGCCAAAAACTTGTTCGCGTGTTGTGAGTACTATAAAATATACGCAAATAATGTGCAAGTATACACAATCGCTCAAGTAATATAGTGATGAGTGAGTATCATCTCCACAGGGATTGGGTGAAATTACGAAAGTCTAACCAAAGCAACGCACTAAATTATCTAAGTATAGTTAGTCTTGATATATACAAATGTCACGGCAATGGATATGTGTATGCTGGTGGATGCGGATTGATGGTGTGATGGTGTAGCAAATGGAAATGCAGTGGCAATGATGGATGTTTAATGTTGAGTATGGTGAAATGTCAAGGCAATGAAAAATGGTAAAGACAGTAAATAAAAAGATAAATAAAATAAGAAGAAAATAATCCTCACGTGATAAGCTTCCAATGAAATGAATGGTAAGGATTGGTCTAAGGTTGCTAAACTTATTTCCCAAGTATATTTAAGCTATCTTATCTTTACTTACTCGACAGGGCTTTCCTAAGGTGTTCAAAAGAACCTAACAGAATAGGATGTCAAGGCATCTGCTCTCACTCAACGATGTTGGACAGCCTACCCTATTGATAAAGACACCTTTCTTAGTCGTTGAAATCCTATCCTAGTCTCTTCCGAGATCTAAGGGATTAAGTTATAATATTCCTAGGCCGGTTCAAAGCCCCTTGAAAATACCATAACCCATTGCTTATGAGGATCTTATCTTGCGTTTCTTCCGAATACTTACAAGTATTTTTAGTTTAGGATTCTTCCGAATACCTAACCTTCATCTAAGAGATGGACATTTCCATGCCTCTTACAAGCCTAGATGGTGAAGCATTCATAAGCAAAGCAAATAAAGAACCAAAATAAACTTAAATATACCATTAAAAATAAAGTTTAAACAACCATTAAATCAACCACCACCAAATAAGTTAGTTCATGGTGGGGTTCGAAATATCCAAACACAAAGTCATGAAAATATTCGTTCCAACAACCCACAAAATAATATAAAAATAGCAGCAAAAAAGAGAAGTGAGAAGAAGCCTTCGACGTGACACCGGAGGTCTCCTCTTGGCCACCACGAACCACCTAGCTTACTACCTCCTTTCGGTGCCTAGCTTGCCACTCCTTGGAGCTTTATCAATGGAGGAATATCCCAAGGAAGAAGAAAAGAAAAGAGAAAATAAAAATGTGATTTTTCTGCTCTATGCGTGTGCTCTCTGTCTGTATCTATCTCTCTCCCATGAGGTGTCATATATAATAAAAAAAAATATCTAGGGGTAATGATGAGTTTGTTGGGTGCAAAATACCCCTCATACCCCTAGAATCACATGTTGTGCATGAACCTTATCCTCCAAGTGGCAGTGGTCCTTTAGCAGCTCTGGCAGGCGGTTACAGCAGTCCTTCACGTGCAGAGACAGCTGTCCAGTGCCAGCTGTCCTTATGCAGAAATATCTTTTTGTCTTTTTCTGCGCCAGAAATGCCAAGGCATTTCAATATGCTTTAGCAACGTGTGATGCCGCGGCATTACTTCCCAAAGAATCCTTTTTCTTGCTATTCCCTGCACACCATAGACAAACTGCACCTTTCCCTCAAACATCACCATTAAGAAATAAAATAGCACAACCACCACAAATGCAACTATATGCAACTACATGATCCTAAAATGACTAAAATGAGCTTTTAAACAAACAATAACTTAAGTGAAAAAGGCTTTAAAAGTAGCCTTTTTAGGAAGTTAACACCCTGATATCAGAAAATTCCCAGAAAAATTCCTAAAAATTATTTTAAGCGATTTCGAGATACTTACAAAGCTCAGTTCAAATTTTTGAACGGCGGAGAGCTCGATTTGAACGAATCGGAAACTTTGACCGCTTCACCTCCTCACGTGCCGCCGTCGATGGAGACCAAGGATGACACTGGCAAACTCGGAACGATGCAACGAACACGATGGTGCGAGAGGTGTCATAAACGGATGACCCGATCGTCGTGAATCGATGAAAAACCAACTAAAATCGAGTTATTACTGACGATACTTCCGACTGAAATTAACGACGAACGGATATGATTTACGACAAAAGGTTTGAGGGGTTTTGTTCCTCGGTTGACAAAGAACACGATGGTGGTTTCGGCTCGTCGATCGGAGGTCAGACGACGAGTAGATCAGAGTTGAAAGTTGGGTTGAGGGAGAGGGAAAACTGGAAAAATTTCCAGAAAACATACAGGGGATTGAGGTTTATAACATCTCATATTTAAAAATGGTTAAACCAAGAGTTTAGCCACTGAACTTCCTACACTTCATAAAACGGTTTGCCAACTTTAAAATTTTACAATTTAACCCACTGTTTCTTTCAAAATACCAATTAAATCCACCACTTTATAATTTCTTAATTTTAGCCCCTAAATTGGGGTGTTACAGAACCGTATAAATATTAATAACATTTTTTAATAAAAATATGAAGAATGTTAATCTTCTTAGGGGGTGTTTGGATTGGGGAATGTGAGATTCCCATGGGAATGGAATCTACATTCCCCCGTTTGGTTAGTCCGGGAATCTCATTCCCAGTAATGTAAGATCACCAATAGTGGATTTTTTGGGGTATATTATCGGGAATGTCATTACCTCCCTTTTCTTAGATATTGTTGGATTACCGGCGTTTTGGACTAAAATGTCCTTAAATTTTTTTTTTTTCAAAAATATCATTCTTCTGTCATTGAATAATAAAAAATTCTATGAATGTTAAATTACAAATTCATTCTTAAACTATTTTAGATTTACAAAAAAATCTATAATTAAAATTTTATATGAAGTTTAGGGGTTAAAAAAATTTACCCTTTCATTAAACTTTTTTATATTTTCAATTTTGTAAAAAAAATTATATAAATTTTATGAATTTAAATTTTTTAAAGAAAATATATTAAATATTTTCCAACTTGTTAAAAAAACAAATATATAATAAGGACAATTTGATCAAATATACATTCCAATAATCTTTTATTCTTTTAACCAAATATGGTAATCTTACATTCCTGCTAAGCCAACCAAACACAAAATACAACATTCTCAGTAATCTTATTCCATGATAATCTTATATTATGTGAACCAAACGCACCCTTAGAGATCTTAAGAATACTCGGCTGGTCTCGAAATTATTCTCGCCCATTCCCCATTCCCCATTCCCCATTCCCCATTCCCCATTCCCGATCACTTCAAGTGCTATAGCACCGTAAAAACTCGCTACAAACAGCAAGCACACGAGTGTCCTTCCTCGATGCACGTGGCTCCCCATCGTTGCCAACAATGGTTTGAATTATATCAGATATTGGGCACCAAAGCTCTTATTATATAATGGTCCAAAGGGCAAGATTCATAGAGTAACCGACACCAAGCTTAAATGCCCTCCACAAGAGGTTAGGGTCCCTTTGAGTATGACTTTGGAAAAGATGGTAATGTGCCACAACTAATGGCTTCATTTGTGCAAGATGTTGATGTCTTGGCCTTTTCATTCAATGTGCTGTCACATCTGCACAACAAACAGCTGAATGATGCTTTGGGTTTATAGTTTATGTTCGAGTTTTTTACTGTTTATCTCAACAATATCATCCCTTAAGTTTAAATTTGTATTCTAAGTAAGATCCGAGAATAAGAATAGTAAAACAATACATTTTGAACAAGTTATTGAAGCTTTTTTTTAAGGTTAAAACGTGACAAAAAGGGTAACTTTTGCTTCTGTAATAGACTCAATTTATCATTTTTGTCTCTATCGTGTTTTCGCATCAATTTAATACTCGAAGTTGCTCAATTACATCATTCTATACCCTATCCCAACTTAAAACCCTAAATCATATCCTCACAACTTCTAAATCATAAACCATAACTTAATGTTATCCTCACAACCCAAAAACCATAAACCATAACTTAGAGTTTATAATTTATGATTTTAAGTAGGGAGTAAGATATAAAATGATGCAATTGACAAATTTTGATAGCTAAATTGATGCGAAAATACGATAGAAACGAAAGTGATAAATTAAATCTACTACAGGGTTAAATATAACCCTTAAGCCTTAAAACATTAGTTGATTTGTTACGATTTTTCGAATGAGATTTGGGTATATCTAGATCAAGATGTAACGATCATTTGAGCATAATTCAATGACCCGGTATACTTGACTCTAATATTTAATAGTTAATGTGAGCAAGACGTTTAACACACCGCACTGATCAGACTAAGTTCATTCCCTACATTTAGTAAACAAAAAATCCAAAACCCGATGAATAAAGAAGCCAAGAAAAGAAAAATCAGCCAAATTTGTCCTTCTGCCCCGTATCAGAGTTAGATTTGCGTCTAAAAGCCGATGTGTAAAAGACTCGCATGCTAGAACAACAAAGATATGTGTCTATTTTCCTGGCCTAATTCTCGAAAGAACCCGCGCCTCCCTCACTTACAATTTCGAAATGCCACCGCGAGTGTTACAATAGCCTGATTTTGCAAGCATTTCGTCGTCTACTTCTTCTTTGATTTAGATGCCGACTGAGTATAAGCAGTTCCCTGGAATTTATGACAGCCGAAACAGGAAATTATCAGCAAGGGTCTTACAGGTATTGATTGATGAAGAACACATGATGCTTCTCGGGGATGAAAGAAGCGAAGAAAACTAAAGCTAAGAAATGGAAATAATGGGAAGTGATGATGATGTATGAACTAAGTCCTAACCTGAAGCCATTCGTCCATCGAGACATCGGTACTCCTAGTCCCCACTTCCACCTTTGGAGCCCTCTTTGTTTTCTAGCAAAATAAAGTCGAAACACATTAGCTTTATTCCACAAAAACATAAGATAACATGTACACAAGCACTTCTCCCTATGGCTTTTTCTCCTTACAAGTGTGCATGACACAATAAAGTAAAATTGCGAATTGAAGCTTTCTTCAACGCAAGAACAAAACATCACAAATATTTAACATTACCAGCAGAAGAGCTAGCATTAATGTTGAACATAGTTACTGCAATAAATTAACACAATTGAAGGTGGCACAACTAAAATACCTTGGTGATACGCTGAAATTGACCATGAAGCCACAAACCAAGGAGAACAAGAAGTGCAATCCCAAGGGTAACAAGAAAAACGGACTCGACGCTGACGAAACCACCGGCCTCAGCAACTTCAATGGTACCGTTATAGAATGTACTTTGGAATGGTTGCTGATCGATGTCATAGATAATCGTACCCACAAGATCAAAAGTTCCAGCCTGCATCAAAATTTTAGATGTGTAAGCTTCACTGCAAGATTGCTTCTCATTGAAAGAACTTAGATACAGTTTAAGGGCATAAAACTCCAAGAGTATTCATTTACCTGTAAGTACTTGCTAACAGCAAATATGTAAGGGAAAGTAGCTTGAACTGAAGGGGGCACAGTTGCATTGTTGAAGGCCTACATTAAAACACATACATATTCAGTTACAGAAACTAGAAACGTCTCAAGGCAGCTTTTTTGCAACAACATATACCCTTAAATTTTTTTTTCAAATAATGCAGCAACCATTTGATAATAATAATAAAAAAAACTTAGAACACAGAATAATCAAAAGCAACAGCACAGCATAATAGTTTCACAATGAGCAGGAATGCCTAAACTGTATATACACGTTCAATCTCATATCTGAGAATCATTGTAAGGTCTACACGTACGACTTAAGCTAAAACTCTCTGCTAATGTTTCTTAAATTGAGATATAACTTCTCAATGCAAGGTCAACATTCATCCATCATATTAAAAAAAATAACAGCTAAAATAACTGACTCGAATATAACTATTATTGTTGATTAGAGTAGGCATGCAGATGAAAGTGAGACACAAACTAAAGATTCACAATGCATAAAACTCATATCATTGACCATGTGTTTGACAATGGATATTTAAACATGCAATAAGATACCATATAAACATGAGAACATGCATGACTCAATGCCTTAACGCTGTAGACAACATAGGATAAGCAAGCAAACTTGAAAATGATCTAGAAGATCAAACTGAATGAGTGTTTAATTGTATTTATAAAACAATCTGACTGAATGATTAATTTTATTTATAAAACTAAAGGTCAAGATACTAAATTATGCAAAGTTTTTCAGCAAGGAAATAATTGAAATTAATCAAAATGTAAACTGAACTAACTGATGAATCCCAAGTATTTGAAAATGCTAACCAGAACAATATTAATGAACTCTATAATTACCTGCACTGTAAGATTTTGAACAAACATACGATGGTCAAAAGGGAAATGAACACTGGCTTTGATAGCAATGACGTTCACAGGTGACTCGCCTACAATTTAAACAAGTAAGCTAAGCACAAGAGGAAGGAAACCTCGAATGGCTAACAGAAAAGACTAAGCATTTAACAACAGTATACTAAGGCAAGATAAATTATGTGTTATTATTTCAACACTGTAATATTAAATTTCATCGTAAAACACATCAGAAGGTAGTGATGAAAAATTAATTACCAACATTTTCCATCCCCACGAGAAGCTCAGTCTCTTCTCCAGCCAGAACCACTGCCCAAGATTAAAAAGAAAAAAAAAGATCAGTCTCAAAAATCATACAATGTCAAAATCCCAGATGCAGCATCAAAAGGTTCTCACCTTTGGCGCTGTTTTTGGGGAAAACACAAACAGTTTCAATTCCTGGAGCTGGACCAAAATTGGAATCACCAAAATCCTGAACATCCTCACCAACAATCCCAAGATCACCTCCTTCAACAGCTTCTCCAACATCTGTCTCTGCTTCTGATTGACACCGAGCAACTATCAAAGAAAAGAAAATTCATGTCAAGGCTAAGTTCAAAACAATTTTGATAATTTATTTATTTAATATTCAACGACAAATTTAAAAAAAAGTAAACAAAAAATTAATGCAACAAACAGCGAGAGGAAAATAACTGCCTCAAGAAAGTTATTGAAAAGGACAGCAAACTCCCAAAGTACTCTTTCCTTGCCTTTTCTCAGAGAAAACTTAAGCTATGCTTTTATAAGTCAATATAGGTACCAGTAAGAACAGTTATCAAGAAGATGCCTAAGCTTCTTTCGGAATAAAACACAAAAAGGAAAGGAATTCAACTTTTCACAGCCATGCAAAGCAACCGTGAGCTTGAAAACAAAGAAATCACCTCAGATCCTCACTATCAAATCATAAAGCTAGAGAAATAAGACAATCTCAAATGGATGTAAAGTAAAAAAATGGCAACAAAAAAAACAATCACACACAGATATTATGGCAAAACGAAACGAATCTAATTTGAACAGATCAAATGAATCGGAGAAAGCATATAAGCATGAAAACAGTAAATCCAAAAGCAACATCGAAAATTCAGCAAAAAGGCAACCGTGAGCTTCTTTCGGAATACAGCACAAAAAGGAAAGGAATTCAACTTTTGACAGCCATGCAAAGCAACCGTAAGCTTGAAAACAAAGAAAATCACCTCAGATCCTCACTATCAAACCATAAAGCTAGAGAAATAAGGCAAACTCAAATGGATGTAAAGTAAAAAAAAAAAGAGGCAAACACGCACAGAGAGAGATATTATAGCAAAACGAATCGAATCGAATCTAATTTGAACAGATCAAATGAATCGGAGTGAGCATCTAAGCATGAAAACAGTAAATCTAAAAGCAACATCGAAAATTCAGCAAAATAATAATAAATCGGTAAGCATAGTTCTGTAATTACAGATCTTAAATATAAACAAGCTAATAAATGCAGGTCAAGCAAAAATAATATATCGTTATACAAACCTTGGAGCAAAGGAGAGGCCAGGAGGAGGAGACCAAAGAAGAAAACGCTGAGAATTTTCATAGCCATTTTCTTCTTCTTCTTCTTCTTGTTCTTCTTTTACTTCTTATTCGTCAAATGAGAGAAAGAAAATAAGTAATCGGTGTGGGAAATTGTAGTAGACAAAAAACAAGGGCTGGCGGGTTTCAATCCAACGGCTTAAATTTACGTAGAGCTCATCCGAACGAAGATTTAACGGTTTTGCTCATATGTCCCAAAGAAATATAAAACGGCGCCGTTTAGTCACTGAAGAACAATCTGGTAATTATATCTAGGGTGATGTAGATAAATAGTCCCGACTATAGATTGATGTTTTGTTGTGTTATTCAACTCTTAAAAGTTATAAAATAATTCATTTATTGTAGGGTGTTGTTTTTTCGATTATTAAAAATTACAAAATTGTTATTTGACTATTTATATATTCAATATTCATCATTTTTTATTAAAAATTTAACGATATTCTAAGTTGGATGTTAAGTTGTTGACTAATATATATGATAAAATTTGATCTTAGGATTGTTTAAATTGTATCGTTGTTTAAGATTCTAAGATTAAATTTTAGCATATCTTAATTAGTATATTAACATCTAGTTCAAATAATTATTAATTTTTTAATAGAAAATGACAAGTTTAAAACATATGAATAATCAGATACTCATTTTGTAACTTTTAATAATTAGGGAAATTAAAAAAGTAATATCCTACAATAAGATGATTATTTTATAACTTTTAATAATTAATAGACTTAATAAAATAATATCTTATTGGAGATCATTTGTTTACATTAGTCTTATAATTATTATTTTCTTTTGTTAATGTAATAAATAGGTTGCATCATTGGGCGTAATTATAAATAAAATTAAATTATAAAAAATAAGTATTATTATATAAATTGTGATATAATTTAATTAATGAGATAATTTTATTGCATGTCCTTAAAGAATGACTCTTATTCTATTTGGTCCTTAAACTTTTAAATATTTCAATATAATCTCTAAATTATGAATCATTCTAAACAAGTCCTCAAAGTTTTGAATACTCCAATTTCATCCTCAAACTATAACCCTCCTTCTAAATTAATCCCTAAACTTGAACCAAAACATAACTCTCTCTATATAATAGTATTATGTTGACATTGACTATAGTAATTCGTAAATTTAAATCAAATCAAAACTCAAAATATGCAATTACATATATTTAAAATTAATTTATCACATTACACATAAAAGAATGTGTAATTTTAATTTTTATGTCTAGAAATAATCTAAACAACTAAAGAGTAATTACTATGTTAGCATGTATACTTTAATATAATTAAGGGTAAAGTATACTAGAGGTCTTGAATTATTCTAGAATAATTATTTTAGAAACTAAATTTTTAAAAATTACAAAATGATCATTAATTTTATCAAACAATTATAAAATATTAATTAAAGTTGATTTATCCCATTTGACACGGGCTTGATAGTGACATAACCAAGAATCCCCCTAATCGAGGGATAAACTATTTAATAAAATTTTGTTAATTATATAATTTATTTAAATATGATTATATAGAATTTAATCGTGACGTTAAAAATGATTGTTGAGTTAACGAATACATTAGTTATTTTAAGTTTAATATCAGTAACGAATTGATCTTGTGAGACGAGACATTAGATACTTTAAACAATATTATGAGTTTGAACTTTGATATTATTAATGTAACAAATTGGTTCGAGAGTTGCTCTCATAATAGACTTTTACAGTGAGATTGAGATTAAATTATAAACTTTTAGCAGTATCAAAAGAGTAGTTTCACCATTTTATTGACTACAAAATTTTATAATTTTGGGGACTAAAAGAAAATTTTCCAACCTGAAGGATATCAAAGAGAAAATTTAGTATTTTATTTGCTAAATTTTATTAATTCGGAGATTGAAAGAATAATTTTACCAAATAAAGAATGATTATCTTACGTTACTCGGATCATACTTATAATCAAAGAATATTAAACATTTAAGCAAGTTTGAGGAGGAATTGGGCAAATAATCCAGTCGGGTGGATTATTTAGCCTAATAGGGTAACACGAAATTTATTTTGAGATCAACGGTAAATGATACAATGTTCATGGAACTCGTCACGTCAACATGACGAGTTCTATGAGATATATTTTTTAATGGGTCGTGTGTCTCACTGCCTGAATATATTTAATATATCCTAAGGGACTCGTTATGCCCATGTGACGAGTCCCAATAAAAATATATATTTTTTAAACATTGTTTAAAAAAATATATATTATTTTAATACTGAAGGATCTCGTCACATCGATGTGACGAGTTCCAACGGATATAATTTTGAATTTGTTGACAGCTGAAGTGACGTTGATTTAAGGTGATGCCAACACTGATATTGGTGTTGATTGAGCGTTAGAGGCTCGAAACACATACGTTTCATTTTCCTTGTGGTGAAGTGACGATAATATTAGAAGATGCCGCATATCAACTTGGCGTTCCAATTAATGGTATGCCATTGGTGCTTCGCAACACTTATTCGTGAGATGTTGTTATTTCAAATTTATTGGGAAATGAGGCTCCAGCCGATGTCGTTGATGGGTTACATATACAGATGACGTGGTTGGAAAGAGAATTTAGAGTAGATGAACAATCAACGGAGCAAGATGTGATATATGCAGCTCGAGCATATCTTATGACGTTGATTGGAGGGATTTTGTTGCTGGATAAATCTGGCAATTTGGTGCACATCCAATATATTCTGGTATTGAACGATTTCCTTGTATGTCGCCAATATAGTTTGGGTTCTACAATTTTGGTTTTTTTGTATCGTGAACTTTTCAAGGCAACCATAGTGGTTAGAGGGAAAAAAGTGGATGTAGCGGGTTGTTTAGTTTTGCTCCAATAATGGGTGTGGTATTGTCTCCCATTTTTTACGCCTATTACATCCGCTCCTATGGAGTTTTCTCTCGCCACAAGGTAAATTCCTATATTTAAAGTTTTGATATTTTATAATATTTATTTAATTATTTTTAAAATGACAACAAATAATGTAAATTTTTAGATGGCGACACTGAATAACCAATACAAAGTTATCAGGTGCAACCAAAGTAGATATTCGGATGAGGATTGATATCGCCGGTAGACATGCAGTAAATTTTAATATTTTTTGCATTAATTTTGAAATTGTAATATTAATTGTGTAATTATACTAACATAATACTTTTGATAGTTTAATTGGATACCTTATTATGAGTCGGATATCCAACGGTGTCTACCGCCAATGTTCTTTGAAGGAGCGGAGACATGGTGTGCCGTAACACCATTGCTCAATTTCACAATTGTTGAGATCTATGCCGCCGATAGAGTTTTGTGACAATTTGGGTTTCACTAACCGATAGAAATGTTCATATTTAACATGGACGATTTGCATAAAATAGATGCGTGTGGGAAGCATAGCGAATATTGGCCGAGGAAGCATGCTATATTCATACAACAATGAAAAAATAGACATTTACGATTGCCTAATCGTTCCGATGTACAACACGAAGATTTTGATTTCAATGTTTCTCCCTACCTCCAAAATTATGAACCAAATGGGAAATCACACTTGATAACGCCGGAGGAGCGGTCTGAGTAAGAAATAATGAAGGCAAAATATGGGGGGAAAATCATCATCTTCATCAACATTTTCATCTTATGTTTATGCCAATTATTATCCATCGCCAGGAAGTTATGGTGAATATGGTGCATATCAACTATTGATGGATAGTCGAGTGGCGTGGGAAGGAGATTTGTGGGATCAAGTGCCATCTTCACAACAATTTTTCTCAGAACCGGAAGAAATATGACGTCAATTCGATGGCGATATCGTTTTCACCTGAAGATGTAAATCAAAGTGATGGAGTAATGTTCAGTACACCGGAACTGGAAGAAGATGAAAATGACGAAGGTGGACGACCACGATGAAATCGACGACCACCACATCATTACTATTTCACCACTCCTCGATATTAGCAAGAATTGAGCAAATATAAGTAATAAATTTATTTATTTTTGTACTCAATATTTAATTGTATAAAAAAATCATTGATAAGTAATAAATTTGTTTATTCGTTTTCACCCTTAAAATGTTTAAAATTTATCAATAATTTTAGTTTATTTAACTTTGAAAAATATGTAAACAAATAAAATATTTAAGCAAAAATGAAAAAATCTTTAATTAAAAAATAACTTATGTTTATATGTTGGAATAAGGTTGTGGTCATTTCTAGCCGTTGGGGATGATTTTTAGCCGTTTGAGGATGTTTTCTTTGTAAAATAAAGTTGCCTAGTACAGGGAGTATCAGTACTCCTTGTATTTATATGTTTTCTACCGTTGGGGCTAATTTAGAATGATAGTCATAATTTAAGGATGAAATTAAAATGTTTAAAAGTTTAGGGATCAATTTAAAATGTGGGTTATAGAATGGGAACGTGTATATATATATATAAACTTTGGTATTTTGATTAAAGGGCCTTTGAGTTAGGCCCAAAAGTAATATGAAATTATCTCATGAAACTTGAAAGAGATTTTACTTTGGGCATATTTTGCAAACACGACGTCGTTTATGGACCACCCGGCCCAAAGGAACCCTAAAAAGATACGTGGCGCAATAGATTTGTGATGTGCAAAAACCTAAAGTTAAAGCGCATCGTAGGTGATTCCATCCCCCCTAATTACGTGTTCTCTCCTTCATCTTCTTCACTCTCTCGTATCTTTGCTTCACCGATCAAATATACCTTCACACGTCCGTCTCTCTCAGGTTCCTTTTTTTTCTCTGTTAATTATTATTGTTATTTTTATTATTATTATAATTTTAATTTTCTTTCAATTCTTGTATTTATATGTCTTAATTCATATTATTTAGATATGTTCAATTTCCCCTGTTGTTTGCCCTGCAAAACCCTAAATTCAGATATTTCTTTCGCTTTTGGGATGTAAAGGACGGAGTTTAAGTGATTAGTAACTGAAGTAAGGAAGAAAAAGTTTGAATTTCCGGTCCAAAATACGTTCTTTCCCATTCCAAATTTGAATTTTTGTTGATTCTAATGAGAAAGAATTGTGGGAATTGTGAAAATTAGTAATTTTTGTTTCGAATTTTTTTATTAATTTCAGTGAATTGGGTTGTATTCTTATGTTTGGACCTTTCTTCTCTTTTTCTTTTAGGGAACCTGAACGATAAGTTACTGGTTTGACCTTTCATAAACGATACAATATGGTATGATTTCTCTCCCTTTTCCCTCTCTATATTGGATCTAGTTTCAATGAGTGTTTTCGGGGTGATTTGTGTATTTTGTTGCTTAGCAATTATTTGCTTGATTTAGCTGTTTTTCGATGGATATGGAGTGATTTGTAGGTTTTCTTTTGGGTGGCTTTTGGATTGTTGTTTAACTCAATCTGTAATTTAGAAATTTGGGTTACAATGGATGGAAGATGAGTGTACATACTAGTGATTTTTAATTTATCCATGTTTGATTTTGCAGTTTTTCGATGGATATGGTTATCATGGGACATCATTCGAGCAGAGTTACCGTTGTTACCCTGCCTCTTTTATTGAAAAGGTTTGAAACAGTGGATTGTTATATTAGATGTTTCAATCTTGGTATCTTGTTATTTATATGGTCAATGATCCGCTTCCAATTTCTATTTTGTTTCCTTCGCTCGTGATTGTGACCATATATTTTTTTTATCCTTGTTTCCCTGCAGCCACAAATTGAAAGTGGAGATAAAAGTAAGTTTTAAGAACTATGGTTAATGCGATATGCTCCTTTTTCTGTGCTAGTTCCTAATATGTACTCTTTTCATTGTTGTTTCAGTTATAATGCCTCCGTCGGCCCTTGATCGCTTAGGTTGGTTGTTTTAGTTGCTACGTTAACCTGTTCAATTAGTCTCGGTTCCTTTTGAGGATTGTTCTTATCATCAGGATTGCTAATGTGTCAATAAAATCATGCAGCGTCTCTACACATTGATTATCCAATGTTATTTGAGCTTCGGAATGCTGCTGCTGAGCGTGTCTCTCACTGTGGAGTACTGGAGTTTATTGCTGAAGAAGGCATGATCTATATGCCGTATTGGGTAGGCAATGCATCTTTCAGTTTGTATATGCTTTGAATTATGAATACTCCTGTATTGCTTTTGCTACACTGAGATCTAAGAATTCTACTACTCATCTGATTCGCCCCTGTTGTTCTCAATGGGTTTCGTGTAGATGATGGAGAATTTGGTCCTACAAGAGGGAGATATTGTGAGGGTGAAAAACGTAACTCTTCCAAAGGGAACCTATGTTAAACTGCAACCCCACACGATGGACTTTTTAGATATCTCGAACCCAAAAGCTATGTGAGTGGATTATTTTCGAATATATGCATGCTCGATTCTTTTATGTTAATGTTCGGTTAAGAAAGCAATCTTCAAAACCGAGACATATGTTGTCATCCAGCGTATACTTTTCATAGATGTTGACAATATTGTGTAATTTATCATCATGCAAGCCAAATAAATTTTTGTATTTGGCATGGACTTCTTAGGAACATAGGTCCTTGAATCTTTATTTCGTTTCTTTCTTAATCTGGAAATTGCTTTCCGGGTTTATTTAGGCATCCATATCTTTTATTGTGCAGCCTGGAGACAACACTGAGGAATTATTCCTGTTTAACCACTGGAGATAGTATTATGGTGGCATATAATAACAAGAAGTATTACATAGATATCATCGAGACAAAGCCATCCAATGCAATAAGTATCATCGAAACAGACTGTGAGGTGGATTTCGCTCCTCCCCTGGATTACAAGGAGCCAGAAAGGCCCACGGTACCCACTTCTTCAAACAGGGCACCATCTCAAGGTGAAAAAAAAGGCTTAACAATGTCTTTTAGATCTCAAGGAATAGTTTATCTTGCTCTTAACTTGTTCTTCGACATCTTACTGTTTTATCGTAGTGTCGGTTTTCGTTTGGGTTCAATTTATGTGCTTTTTTCTCTTGTGGTATTATGCTCTAGTGCACTTGAGTTTATGCTAGATCTCGGTAATGCTTTACCTTCTGTTCTTAGGATCATCTCTTCTTTGTTCCTTCAGTTGAAGAAGCTCCCGCTGAGGCTGAACCAAAGTTCAGCGCCTTTACTGGTACGGCAAGACGCTTGGATGGGAAGCCTCTGAAGGAGCAGCCTCCACCAGTTTCTTCATCCGGGTCTAAAGACAAGGGGCCTGCTGTTTCTGATGGGAATAATAGCCGACCTTCTTCGGGATCTAGCTCACAAGCTTCTGCAGGCAAGGCTCAGGGGAAACTTGTATTTGGATCAAATGCAGGCCGTCCTAAAGAAACAAAACCGGTACTCATTTCCGCAGTATCTTTGTTTTGCCTATTTGCTTACCATTAGCTATTCTATGTTAAGGTCTTCTTTTATGGAATAATGAAGATATAAGATGTCCGTTCCTTTAATTTTTACAGGAACCTGGAAAAGAAGCTAAACCCGAGCAGGCTGAGAAGAAGGAAGAGCCAAAGTTCCAGCCATTTACAGGGAAAAAGTACTCATTAAAGGGTTGAGCAAATTTATCCATAAATTCATTTACCGTGCCTTAATTCGGTAAATGAAAACACCAGCATATTATCGAACAACCGAACTATAGGTTCTCATGTCAAAATGAAGAAGGGATTCTGTTATGAATTTTAAGATATTTCAAGTTTATTTTTATTTGAATCGTTTCGAATTCAGGTGAATTTTGGCTATTTCGGATTGCTTTTTTCTTTTGGCCGTTATTATCATGTAGGATAGATAATGATAATTCAGAAAAAACCAGAGTTGCTCTAATTTTACAAGCATGAAATGCAGATTCAAGCATTTTAGTATTGTGATAATGCATGCATGCATGCATACATATATCATTAAAAGTACATTGGAATCAAGAACAAAAATAGTCTCCATTAGCATTTACTTATCTAACAGAAGACAATACCCTGATACTCTTTGCTGTCACCTTATTGTTTTTGTTTGCAACAACTTAGTACACGTAGCCCTTGACAAACATTCCTTTCTTGGCCTCCTCTGATTCTCCCTCACCGGTGTATTTGCCGAGCTGAGCGAGCGAGTTAGCCTTGGCACGGACAAGCAGGGCATCCTGAGCAGCCTTAACGTTTTCGGGTCTGCCACCCCATGTTTTCAAGCAAGTGTTTTGGAGAGCTCTAGCGTAGGAGAACGAGACGTGCCACGGGTTGGGAGATTGGTTCATTGCATTCAAGTTGAGGGTTGCTTCGACCTCGGATTGCCCACCGGACAAGAACTGTTCAAAAAAAAATGTTTGATAATCAGTGTTCGGTTCCACCAACTCGAAAACGATTCCGAGATCGAAGTGGTGTTTATCGAAATGTACCATGATTCCGGGGACAGCCGGGGGGATTCTACGGTGGAGGAGCTTGAGGGTGTAGTCAGCCACTTGCTGTGGGGTGGCCTTGTCCTTGCATTCGGCACCCGGAGTAACCATGCTAGGCTTCAAGAGAATGCCCTCAAATAACACATTGTTCTCAGCAAGGTAAAAGAAAACCTCAGCCCAAACCTTCTGTGCTACCTCGAAAGTCCTATCGATGCCGTGGTCACCATCAAGCAAGATCTCCGGCTCCACGATCGGCACCAACCCGCTATCCTGCAAATAATAATCCACACATAAGATTTACGTTATCGTCATAGAAGCATTTATCCCGATTATGAACATAGTCGATGCTCTTTTAGACTTACTTGAGAAATGGCGGCGTAACGGGCAAGACCCCAAGCTGCTTCTTTAACTGCCAAGGCAGATGGACCATTGGGAATGCTCACAACAGTTCGCCTGGTTAATCAAAACAGAAATATGCGTTAAGTTACATAAAGAACAATATGATCGGGAAATTTTATCAAACACTTCGAGTACCATTTGGCGAATCGAGCACCCTGCTGGTAGTAGGCAGCTGTTCGAGATGAAAGACCATCGAGACCTTGGCACCAGGACTCGTTGTTGGAACCAGGAAGAGGGACCAAGCCCTGTTTTTTAATCACCATTGAACAGCGTACGTTTACACAATTTTGATTAAAAAAATGGTTAATTATATCGGAAGTCCTTAAAATATGGAATCAATCATATCCTTCCCTAACCCTAGCTATCAACTTGAACGTTAAGTGTTAAGTTGGATATAACATGGAGCCGAGCGTATTGTTATTTGGAATTTTACCTTGTCAACTTTGATACCGGGGACGATGTTTTGCTCAACAAGAACATCGACCATCTTTTTGCCCTCGGTGGTGGATTGGTAAAGAGTCTCCTCGAAAAGGATAGCACCGGAAATGTAGTTGCCGAGTCCGGGAGCCGACACGAGAAGGGTACGGTACGCTTGGCGGTTGGCTTCGGTGTTTTCTAGACCGATGGAATCAAGTCGCTTCCCGCATGTAGCGTTCGATTCGTCCATGGCCAAAATACCACGACCGGGGGACGCAATTGCTTTCTACATATTCCAAAGAAAACGTCATATGGTTTCTTGCATAGTCTAAAACATCCGGTTTCGGGTATAATCGTCAATACCGCATCGATAGACATTTCGTTTTTATTACGTTACAAGTAGATTTCTCGATATTTTTGTAAGAAATGTGCCCGAATGAATGCTTACCGCTGTTTTAACAAGCTCGTCAGCATACGAACTAGCACGGACAGTAAGAGCCGATGGGGATGTAGGGTGGCGCTGAACAAAAGTAGCCGATCCCTGACGGAGGGATTGGCCCTTAACCCACTCGAACTTGTCGATGACAGGCGACGATTTGAGGAGAGTTGCCGATGCTGCTGCCATTTTCGTTTACCTCTCAAAGCAGGGCAATAGTGACCTTATCTCCCACTCTATCCAAGTCCTCCTTTACCACACATGCTAGAGTCCTCCCTTCAATGAATTTATATAGTAACGTCGACATATGTCGTGTTTGAGGTTGTCGTTCATCGACCAATGCCGTCGTGCCATGTGGATGATAATTCTGCACCTTGCTTTCGTGGTCGATATTGATGGTTTTATTACCACCTCGTAAAGACCAAGATATTTTTCTTCTTCTTCTGGTTGTACTTTGAAGTTAGGGTTTAGACAAATGCGTCGCGTTTCACTATGCGTGTATGTCCAAATTAGAGGTGCTTTTGAGCGATGCGTTGTGGATGTAAACACTTGAAGGTTCTAGTTGGTCATGGTTTTGATGAAAAAAATATATGTGAATTAGTACTAACCCCATCTTGGACGGTCGATAATATGCCAAGTCATATGTTGATGTTTTGATTTTTACGGTCTTTTATTTATCCTAGATATATATAAAAAATGGGTAAACTGCATAAATGGTCACAAACTTTTAGGATGCTTGCATTTTGGACACTTAACTTTTAAAACTTGTAAAACAATCATAAACTTTTTAATTCGTTTTCAGTAAGGTCCATGATATTATCTCTCGTTAGTTTTATCTAACGTGGCACGTTACTGTTATTTTTAAGCTAAGGCATAAAAAAACCCCGATAAGACGTGCCCCTGGGAATGCGCCTTCCAGGGGTATCGGTAGTTTTATCGGGTGTGAGCGATTTTCAGCTAAAGCGTTTCCTACCAACCACGCCTTCCTCCTAAAGCGCGTTTCACCGAACGTGCCTCATTCTCAGTGTTAGATCATGTAATACTTGAGAAACTGTAACCGACATGTAATATTTTATTTATACGGTAATTTTTTATAAAAAAACGAGCTTTTATGTATAAAAGAAATTTTATTATAAGACTCACCTAATGAAATTAAATGTAAAATACTAATCTATTCAAACTAATTAAGATGAAACTTTAGAATCGGTTTAAAAAATATACAGTACATAGTGTGGCAGAAAATGAGGGGATCATGAGTGAGACAGTGATGGCGAATGTTCCCTCTTTCATTTATTAGACACGATGTTCTTCGTTCAGCCTGCCATAATTCTAGCTGCTCTCCCTCTGCACTCTACGCTCTCATCGCCCTTTCCTATTCCCCATTTCCCATCCATGCAGCAATTGCCGAGCAACCGATAGTTCTGTGAACGAATACGAACGGGATAGGTTTATGATCCTTCGTTTAATTTTAATCAAACAAACAATCGAGTACAAATAATTAAACATAGAAATTTTTTTATGTGTTTTTATTCATTAGGGATTATAATTCATTCGTATTCATTTATTTTTATTCGTTAAAATTATTAACGTACACAAACGAACGAATATAAACGAATAAACATAAATTAATTGAGTTTATATTTGAGAATAATTTTTTCTTTTCAAATATTTATAGGGTTTATATTTTTTGTTTTGAGTTTGGAAGGACAAATTTGAATCCTACACCGTCACTCTGGGGGACAATATGTGATTTCCTATATAAATTGTAGACACTCATTTTTGTCCGAATATTTTTTTAATTAAACTAATTAACATTTTATTGTTTATTATTATTATTATTATTATTCTAATTATATTATTTTGTAGGCCCGGTTCAAACCCAATTCTCATTAAGAGCCCAACTACAATATTACAAAGAACCCAGATAACCCAAGCCCGTGACCCATCAGACAACCCAAATCCATGGCATAACCTGGAGCCCAGATCCGACCCGACCCAGAACCTGAAATCCTAAACACATTAGGGTTTTTGTGTTTTGCTTCCAGCAGCCGCACGATCCACCATTAGATTTGGTGAGGATGGACGACCCAGATGAGATTATGGGAACCCTATGGTTTCATCATAACCCTAGGGAACAACTGCTGCCGCTGCCACCCCCTGACGCCGCCGTTCCAGTCTGCAGCAAAGTAAAATCTACATCAACAGTACAAAAGCAGACATAAAAGAAATGAAAGAAATCTAGAAAAAATCCTATAGTTGTTTATCAGCCAGAGAAGGACAATGATATCCTAGGTGTTCTGGGGGCAGTGAATTTTACGAGGGGAAAAGAAAATAAAAGGGAAGGGAGAATCCAGAAGAACCACGGATTCAAGCAGAGAGAAAACCCAGAAAAATTAGAAAAAGCACATAGAGAAACTAAAAAAACAAGAAAGGGAGAGAAGAAACCTGAAGCCAAAACTTACTCACGATCCAACCCTTAGTGACCTCGTCCGAGCTAGGAAGAATCAGGCTTGAAGGTAAAGTCTTTTCTTTGTTCTAGGGTATGTTAGGGTTCGAAATAATGGGGATTTTTGGGTTTGAAGTCGGTTAGGGAGGGGCTGTTATGGAGGAAAGGAGAGATGATAGGAAAGGATCAGGGTTCCGAAACGTTTTGCTTCTTCATGGCCACCGATTTGCTGTGGTCGGGGAATTAGGGGCATTCACCTTCGGCGGAGGATGGAGAGATCAAGACAGACGAGAAGAGAGAAGAGAGAAGAGAGAAGAGAGAAGAGAGAAGAGAGAAGAGAGAAGAGAGAAGAGAGAGTGTTCGGGGTTTTTTTTTGGTTTAGAGAGAGAGAAGGAAATGGGAAATGGGGGGTTCTTATCGAGTTTAGGCCTTTGGTTTGACCTTATAAACCAAGTCCCAAACGACGCCATGTGAAAGAGGGATCGGGGGTGTAATTTCAAGCGTGGGTAAATTACGTGATAGGGGCTTTCGGATTTTGTAAAATTTGTTTAAGCGTGGGTAAAATTCGCTAAATGTTCCGTTCGTTTATCGGCCTATCAACCGATTGTTTGTTATAAAGTTCATTTTTAAAAAAAAGTGTAAAATATACATTTAATATATAAACTATTAATTTTATTTTGTTTTAATATCTAAATTTTTATTTGTTTTAAAATTATATTTAACATTTATTTTTATTTTATTTTGATACTTCGTTATTAAAAATTTTAACGAAACTGTTGTACGTGACATTTTTTAATAGGTAAATTACATTATTCATCATTTAATTATCTTCTCACTCTTATTTTGGTAACTAAAATTTATTTTTTAGTTTAATTACTTAACTTTCAAATTACTCTTAATTTAATCACTCAACATTCAAATTTGTTTTAATTATATTTTAATAAAGTAATAATAAAAAATGTCAAGTCATAAATATTATTAATAAAATAAATTAGAGTTATTAAAATATGAGCAATTTGACAGTGGAGTAGTTAAATTAAAAAAATTAAACTTTAGTTACCAAAATAAAAGTGAGAAATGATATAACTTACCCATAAAATGAAGATTCGTTAAATTTTGAACGACGTGGTACTAAAGTGAAATAAAAAAGTAAATGTTAGGTATATTTTTGAAACAAATAAAAATTTAGGTATTAAAATAAAATAAAACTGATAGTTTAGATAATAAACATATAATTTACCTTCTAAAGTTAAATCAGATCAAATCGGGTCTTAATTTAAGATCAATCTTTTTATCTTATTTTTTGATTGGAAAGGAAATTAAGCAAAATAACTATATAGTAAACACATAAATAACTTTTTATCTTATTTAAGATAATAATATAATTATTTTTATATATTTATCCTGTAGGATATGATACTAAATCTAGTGGGTTTAGGCTCATTTGGTGGCCTTTCTATGCAATTTTGGGCTACCATATACCTAATCTCTGGACATGACAGTGGCATAGTTGTATTTAAGCTAGAGAGAGAGCGTCCTGCTTTTGCAGTGAGTGGCAATTCTTTGTTTTATGCCAAGGATCGGTTTTTGAGGCATTATGACTTCTGTACCCAGAGACAGACACAAGTAATTCCAATTCGACGGCCAGGTTCGACAAGTTTGAATCAAAGTCCAAGAACTCTCTTACAGTCCAACTGAAAACGCTGTTCTTATCTCCTTAGATGTGGATGGAGGATCATATGAATTGTACGTGATACCAGGAGACAGCATCGGTAGGGGAGACGGTTTTCAGGAGGCAAGGAAAGGTCCTGGCAGTTCTGCTTTATTTATAGCTCGGAACCGGTTTGCTGTTCTTGATAAAGGCAACAATCAAGTCTTAATCATGCAGTATTTTATGCTGGTACAGGTAATCCCTTGTGTAGGTCAGAGGATAGAGTAGTTGTGTTTGATCTCCAGTAGAGGCTTGTTCTTGGTGAGATTCATGCCCCGTTGGTGAAGTATGTTGTTTGTTCTAATGACATGGAGAGTGTTGCTCTGCTGCGCAAGCATACCATTATAATTGCTAATAAGAAGCTTGTGCACCAGAGCACTCTTCACTAGACAATTCGTGTTAAGAGTGGAGCCTGGGATGACGATGGTGTTTTTATTTACGCCACCCTCAACCATATAAAATACTTCCTTCCCAATGGAGATTGTGGAATAATTCAAACACTTGAGGTTCCTGTATACATGACAAAGGTGTGGCTCTCCATTTTGTGAAAGATGAGAAAACACACTTTAATTTGGCTCTAGAGTGGGAATATTCAAATTGCCGTTGCATCAGCTAAAGAGATCGATGACAAAGATCATTGGTATAGATTAGGTGTGGAGGCCCTTCGCCAAGGCAATGCAGGTATAGTGGAATATGCCTACCAGAGGACAAAGAACTTTGAGAGGTTGTCTTTTCTTTATCTCATAACTGGTAGCCTAGAAAAGCTGTCCAAGATGCTAAAAATTGCAGAAGTTAAGAACGATGTTATGGGTCAATTTCACAATGCACTGTACCTTTGTGATATAAGGGAGCGTGTCAAGATCTTGGAGAATGCTGTTCACTTGCCTCTTGCTTATGTTATAGCATCAGTCCATGGGCTACAGGATGTGGCGGACAGGTTAGCAGCTGAGTTGGGAGATTACGTCCCTCCCTTTTCAGAGGGGAAAAAGCCATCCTTTTGGATGCCTCCAACCACCGTCGTTTGCAGTGGTGATTGGCCGCTCTTGAGAGTTATGAAAGGCATATTTGAAGGTGGATTAGATAGTATTGGCAGGGGTGGT